GCTACAAACAACATGACAAAGGCTGACATGCATAAAAGGGCTTGGACCCCGGTCATAACTGCTTTGCAGTTCTAGTTACATTTAAAATTATAACTCTAATTCAAGCAGAATAGCCTATTGTCAACATAATTATGGAGTGTGATTTATTTTCAACTCAAAATATCTTCAAACTAACGAAATATAAAGTTATTAGGGAGGAAAACCCGTCTGGATAACAGCAGACTGACTGCTCGTAAAATATACGACAGGTCTGGACCACTCGAAATTTTTGTTCGTATCTGAAAAAAATCGTAGAATATGAAAACATTGGTGAATGCCACAACTTCTCCTAAATCACTCGTACGCACAACTGAAGAACAAATCTGTGCGTACGAACGGTTCTTGCATGAGGCCCAATGTGTTTAGATTCTAACTCAGTAAGTACTCGGTATCAGTACTCGGTATTGGCGAGTGCTCAAACTGAAGTACTGAGTTTGAGGAAAAACTGGTAYCAGGACACTCCTTTGGTTAACATTGGTTGAGCAGCTGAGTTGGGTTTGTGGGTTGCGCCAATGGAAAAACTTGCCAAGCTGGTTATTTTGCTATTGCCTGCTGTTTTGAGCTTCTAGTACCTCAGGTGCTGATGAGCAGGTACTCAATGTCAAAACATATGTGCAAACAGTGGAAATCCCAAACCTCCACAGTCTGGAACTGAAATCTATCCCTCAAAAGAACAACATTCATCCATGCAGAGCGGGGGGTCATCAGAGACGACCTCCAGAATCGGGATAGAGAAGATGGAATGACCTGCACACAGTCCTGAGCTCAACCCTACTCAACACCTGTGGGATCATATAAGCGTGATGTTTATTCTAACAACCACATTGGCTGATGTGAAGCAAACGCTGGTTGAAGAATGTGTGACCAGGTTGGTGAGCAGCATTAGGCTGTTGTGGCTGTGTATGGTTCTTCCACATGCTACTCAGGCCCTTGTTGGATACAGTTTTAAATTGTCTAGTTTTTTTATCAGACTTTAAACATCCAATCTAAGAAACAACCACAAACAAGTATAAATAGTAAGTTGCCATCAGGTAGTAGCATTKTTACAACAGAAATAATCAACCAGACCAGTTATGTTTGTTACCTGACTAGACTCCACAGTAAAATCCTGCACCAAAAGTCTCTCCTCATTAGGCAGATGTATGTGCTGCTCCCCACAGTGCGACACAGTGAAACTGTCAAAGCTCAGTGGTAGATCTTTGCTTGGCCAGTAGACACAACAATCCCTCTTTTCACTCTAAAGAAAAAACACAAGATTGTTGTGAAWATGCTGAGTCATTATACATCCCAGATAAAGTCGAGTGTGTGTAAGTTATACCTGATTGTGTGCATCTGGCAGGCAGACAACTGTGTGGGTTTGGTGTTCCCAGATCATTCTCCAGAAATCTTCCACCGTGCTGCTCAGAGGAGTCTGACTCACTATGAACTCCTTACTGCAGTGGTAGCCCTGTTTAAATATGTGTTAGTTATAAAATACATACAGGCACACATCATCAGTAAATACTAAACATATGTACTGACAAAGCAAGAGAAACATTGTCTCCTTTGGGCAGAATTTGGTTACATCCTGTGTCCTGCTCCTGAGACAGCACTCTGGTTCAGTCTTAACAAGAGAACACTTGTATGTGTCTATGGATGGACACCAGTCAGCCCCCCTGGTTCAATTCAGTTAATTTTTATAGCAGCAAGTCACAACAAACRTAGAAAAATAATCAAAGGCAGCCGCCAGACTGGGTAGAATCAAACGAATGGCTGTCAGTGGACTGACTGAGCCAAGGCAGATCTTGCAAACTCCTTCTGGAGAAAGGACCTTTTTATCCATTTTAGTATACAAGCACTTAMAGCTTGACCTCGACAGAGCGTGCAATTTCTTTTCATTTCATTTCCAGCACTTGGCCTGGATGTTTAAATGTTTTTGTTTTGGAATGTTGATGATATCTCTACCAAACTGTCCCCACTAAATGTCATCCCAGCTTTAAACAAAGTAGCAGAAAGTGGACTCACCAGAACATAAGAGGCATTGATGTAGCCTGTGGAGTTTGTTTCTGAAGCTGTCAGAGAAACTCTCGATCTCTCCACTGCACGCATGCACGCACGCACGCACGCACGCACACACACACACACACAAAATAACACATGGCAACAAAATACAACGTAAAAGGAATTTTAATGCAAAACTGACGTCCTTAATTTAAAAAAATGTATTTGAATAAATTCACATAAAAGTTTGTGTTTCAGTCCTTTTTAAGACCATGTATTCCTTTTTGTAGCCTCACCCTTACCCTAAACTTAATCACTCCCAATACATAACCCTAACTTTAGTCCTAAACCGAACCCTTACACCAAAACGTTGTTCATCCATATTAGGACCGATCTTTGGTCACCAAAAGGACTACTGGTCCTCACAAATAAGGTGTTTAAAAGAAATGGTCCTAATACGTAACCAAATCTAGGTACACACCCACACACATTTGTTCTTCTATCCTCATGGGGACTTTTCATTAACTTCTATTCATTTGACAGTCATTTCAATACCGTAAAAAAACTACTGACCCGAACCCTAACCTAAGCTCAATTCACACCTTAGTCCCAAACCCTGACCCACCAACGGTATTTCCCCTGATGGGGACCGGGCTTTTGTCCCCACAAGGAACARTGGGTCCTCACCAGGCTGTGTGTACTGGGAAAATGGTCAAAAATAGCCCCCACCAGATAAAAAAGCATATACTGTACAGTACAGACCAAAAGTTTGGACACACCTTCTCATTCAAAGAGTTTTCTTTATTTTCATGACAAGACATCAAAACTATGAATTAACACATGTGGAATTATATACTTAAAAAAGTGTGAAACAACTGAAAATATGTCTTATATTCTAGGTTGCTTTGATTACTGCTTCACACACTCTTGGCATTCTCTTGATGGGCTTCAAGAGGTGGTTACCTGAAATGGTCTTCCAACAGTCTTGAAGGAATTCCCAGAGATGCTTGGCACTTGTTGGACCTTTTGCCTTCACTCTGCGGTCCAGCTCACCCCAAACCATCTCGAATGGGTTCAGGTCCRGTGGCAGCACCCCCAGGGTTTCCCCTAGGAATTTTTTTTACCGTGGTGGCATGGTGACCTCTCATGAGCGCCGTGGGGGCGTTAAATGAAAATTAAGATTTAATTTAATAAGTATATTGTTATGTATACAAAGTTTACTGTATACAAATGTTCTCAGTCAGCAGGTTGACAGTTTTAGGAGCTGCTTGAGGATAACTTCTCCTCCTTGTCCTCTCTGAAATAGAGACCAAAAATCAACATCCGACATACATAAGCTTTCTGCTTACAGGTCAAACATTTTCATTTAAATAGGAGTATACTGTGGACATGACCTTATTAAAAGTTACAGTTTAGTGTTCTTAGGACTGAAGACTTTCTGAGGAAAGAGGTTTTTAAATATCTTTTCTATCATTTTAGTGTTTTCATTTGAGGAGCTTTGATATATTTATTTGAAAAAATTATAGCAGAGGAAGTTCTCTGCACAGAAAAAAAAATAATTTATTTTTACCATTTTTTTAACCAAACTGACAAGTTTCTCCAGTAAAATGATTGTGTGGCTAATTTAAAGGCATTGAAACACCTGGTTAAATTTAGAAGATATTATGATTAACTACAGACACCTGAAGCTGACTCAGAGAACTCTGTGATTTTAGAGGAAGATCAAAGTCAAACGTAGCCACGGTGCGCCCCGCCCCCACCTCTCCACCCCGCGCGGCTGAAGTCCGCCTGCACCTCCACCCCACTTGCGTGTGATTAATACAGATTTTTTGCGCAAAATTACTGATTTTTGATGCTCATTATACAAGTAACTGTCTGAAGGGGTTGACGTGGACTCTGAAGTCCCGGGCTGGTCGGAGCTGCGCTGCAAGTGGACAGGTTCAGTGGCTGCGGTCAAACTGGCTCTCACCCCTCGCTTTAAAAACAGTCAGCTGATCTGTCGCAGTTTGTTGTGCTCGTGAACACACGGTGTTACAGGGGAAATACTGCAACGTGCTTTTAGAAATATAATATATTTAAAATACCTCGGTGGAAAATAGTCCAGGAAACACTGAGGGCTTTCCCAGGAGGTGTTCACCTGAGCTGAGTGAGACTGACCASCYACCCACCCACACCCACGTCTGACGGCACGGCCCGCCCTGCTCTGTTCTGATTGGGTAAAAGTTTGACTGTGGTTCTTTTTACTGGGGGAAAGAACCGTCAGWTTAATCCCAAGACGGCTTTAACAAGTTTTTTTTCTCKTTTATTTTTACAATGACGAACACCCGTGGAGGAAAGCTTAAGGGGAGGCGGGATCTGGTTGTCGAAACGAAAATAGGTTGTCTCGGACAAACTAAACAACGATTGTGTCAACTCCTGTTTTATGTTGATGATAAAAAAAAATGTAAAAATTTTTTTAAAAATTCATTCAGAAAGTGTGGCGGCTTTTATTTAGCTGTGGCGGCGCACCATGATCAATTACATGTAGGGGAAACCCTGCACCCCATCACTCTCCTTCTTGGTCAAATAGCCCTTACACAGCCTGGAGGTGTGTTTGGGGTCATTGTSCTGTTGAAAAATAAATGATGKTCCAACWAAAYGCAAACCGGATGGAACAGCATGMCGCTGMAAGATGTACAGTGGTAGCCATGCTGGTTCAGTATGCCTTCAATTTTAAATAAATCCATAAMAGTGYCACCAGCAAAGCACCTCCACACTGGCACACCTCCGTGCTTCATGGTGGGAACCAGGAATGTAGAGTCCATCCGTTCACCTTTTCTGCGTCGCACAAAGACACGGTGGTTGGAACCAAAGATCTCAAATTTGGACTCATCAGACCAAAGCAGAGTTCCACTGGTCTGATGTCCATTCCTTGTGTTCTTGAACCCAAACAAGTCTCTTCTGCTTGTTGCCTGTCCTTAGCAGTGGTTTCCTAGCAGCTATTTTACCATGAAGGCCTGATTCACACAGTTGTTCTAGAGATGTGTCTGCTGCCAGAACTCTGTGTGGCATTGACCTGTTCTCTAATCTGAGCTGCTGTTAACCTGACCTGTTCTCTAATCTGAGCTGCTGTTAACCTGAACTGTTCTCTAATCTGAGCTGCTGTTAACCTGCCATTTCTGAGGCTGGTGACTCGGATGAACTTATCGTTCACAGCAGAGGTGACTCTTCGTCTTCCTGTCCTGGGGCGGTCCTCATAAGAGCCAGTTTCTTTGTAGAGCTTGATGTTTTTTGCGACTGCAGTTGGGGACACTTTCAAAGTCTTCCCAATTTTTCAGACTGACTGACCTTCATTTCTTAAAGTAATGATGGCCACT